GGGGGGGGGAAGAAAAAGAATAGATCACTGCTAAACTTATAGCCGAATGTAAATAAAACATGTTTCCCGTTCTACTACTTAGAAGTTAATTAATTCCTTTGGTGCGATCTTCAGGCAAGTGGTCAAAATCTTCCATTTACAAATTTCTGAGGCATTTTCACGGTTAGACATAAGCACCCCTCAAGCAAAGGACAGGTAATGCCCCTTTGTCCTTCTGGAACGGAGGACATCATCACCTGTTTAACTTATCACTGAAACATTATTACAATATGCTCCTTGTTCTGACACCCTTTTTCTATTGCATACCAGGTTGCTTCGGGATGTTAAGCACATTCTTGGCTGCATAAGATCTTTGCCTTGTGATGATTCGAGTAAACCTGACATCCCAAACTGGGGGCAACTTGATGAATTCTTGGACCAGAGACTCGGATCTGAAGCTGGATAATGATGTGAATGTGTATTTGCCATTGTTTGCTTTTTTGATGAAGGGGGTCATATTTGAGGAGTAAATAACAGGATATCAGAAGTCAATTTTCAACCTATGTCATCTCCCTTGTACACCTAAAAATCAAGGTATGATGTAAAAAGTCCTTGTCCCAAATAATTTTTTGGATGATCTTAGGAGGTAAAGGTTTAACCACTTATGAAATAAGATCGAAGTCACATACCCATAAAATTTATGAGCACTACTTTTGTTTTCATTGCTCGTACTATATGTGAGGAGCTGCGTTGGCCTCCAAAACTCAATTCATATGTTGCTCTTCTGGATAGTACATAGCAACCTATGTATGATTCCTACAACTAATTTGAACTGCAAAAAGTTCTGTCTTGTCTTTTGCTTTCCCTTTTCTAATCTGACGTATATTGCTCAAGACATTAGGCATGTCAATTAGATTTTCATAGTAATATAGTGAACCTTTTCATTATTGCGTACGTTTTCCACTTTATACTCTGGATCCCAAATCAGCACAACGTAAACTTTATTTATCAAATGAAATTGTACTGTATCATTGAACTTCACCTTATATGCAATATGTTCCGAATGATTTGTGTTGTGTACTAACCATCGGGAAGCTTCCAGGTTTTGCGATTCTCATGGACAGGCGTGAAGTACAGTTTGGGATTCAGATATTTCAACGAAGTTGGGCCTTGCCCTATTTGCTGAAACACATAACATATTATATGTTGTATTGGCTAGGCCAACGCTTTTTGCTGCCCTAATTGTAGTTATGTTTAGAGAAAGAACAGATCAATTTGTTTACTCGAATAGATTTTAGTTCCTTGCTTTCTTTTCTTTCCCCCCTTCAATTTCAATGGCCTTTCGTACAGTTACGCATGTTTGTACTTTGTAGAGCTAAATTTGTCATTATTGCCTATAAATAATTTTGCTTACCGCTGGCTATGGCATCTCTTATAGGATGCAAAAAAAATTCTTTTTTCTAAAAATTTATTTCAGTTTTTCCATTTGCACTTGCACCCCTTCTCCTGTTATGTATATAATTTCTGAACATCTCGTATGTCGTCTTTCGGACTCTCTACCTTTGGGACCGATATTTTAAAATTTTAGCTTGTGTGTGTTGTGGTACTACGGGGATAGTAATTTGATGAAAATGAAGGTTTTAATGTGGAAGCTGCAACGGTGGAATACATTGGAAAGGAATTTAAAATTAGGGTTTGAAAGAAAATGATGAGAAAGAGAAGGGATGCAGAGAATAATGGAGTTTGAATATTAAGTGAGAGCGCATTCATATTTGAAAATGGGAGGGTGAAGGTGAAGTTGGAAGTTGTTGGGTTCAATTTAGGAAATTTAAAGCATGTGAAGTCTGTGGAAGGAGAGAGGGTTGAAGTGGACGTAAAACTGTGTCGTTTCCATTTTTAGTCGTAATATTCTGTGTGTTTGCAGCCACCACCTGTTCCCTTCGTCTTCTCTCTCTCTCCAATGTTTACCCATATGATTTTTTTTATTTTTTTTTTAATATAAAAAATAATAATAAATGTGGAATTAAATGGGGGTGGGAAGACAAAAAGGGAGAGAGGGAAGAGAAATGGGTAAAAAGGGGAAGGAAGTGGTTTTAGGGTGTGATTATGGGAGTCTCCCAATTTGGCAAATTCCATAAAGCAGCGCAGAGAGTGGTTATGTGTCGCCATTTCACTTCCTACTTTTCTCCCTCTTTCACTCATTCTCCTATATTACTATTACTTACCCCCCTCCCCATTCCAATCTTTTTCTTTTTTCTTTTTTCTTTTCTTTTTATAAATATTAATAAATAATATATATACTTGGAAGCCTCATGCAGCACTCAGTATACGTTTATATATACAGAGGGAGAGAGAGAGCCTGATTAGCTAGGGTTATCCTTCTTATGTTGAAGCTAGGAGGAAGGAGAGGAAGAGGAAGAAGAAGAAGAAGAAGAAGAAGAAGAAGAAGAGGAAGAGGAAGCAGAAAGTAACAAAAGTTGAATACCGGAATGGGCAGAGGAAAAATCGCGATCAGGAGAATCGAAAATCGGACGACAAGGCAGGTTACGTTCTCTAAGCGGCGAGCCGGGCTGTTCAAGAAGACTCATGAACTCTCCGTTCTGTGTGACGCACAGATCGCCCTCATCGTCTTCTCCAGTAACGGCAAGTTGTTTGAATACTGCAGCCAGGCAACCTGGTGAGTTCACTTCCTTTTCTTTTCTTTTCTCTTCTTTTCTTTTCTTTTTATATCAACACTACTTACTTCTTTTTCTTTTAAAAAAAAAAACTTTCAAATGTGTTCCATTCAGCAGCATGGATCAAATAATCAGGCGCTACCAGATTGCCATCGGGAACCCTATTCCGGACCAGAATATGAACGACCCGGTACGTATATTTATTTCATTTTATTTTATTACATTTATATATATACATACATACAAAGAGAGAGAGAGCGAGAGAATATGATAATATATATACATATGTCCAGGAAGAATTGGAGAGGCTGTTGCGGATTATGAGAAAAGACACAGACGAGCTTCAGCTGAGCTTGCAGCGCTACACGGCGGAGGATTTGAGCACTTTCCAGCTTCGCGATCTCGACGAAATCGAGAACCGTCTCCAAACCTCCCTCAACAGAGTTCGAGCTCGAAAGGCAATTAATTAATTCATTAATTAATTAATGGCCTCTACTTCTTTTTTCTTTTTTCTTTTTTTATTTTTCTTTTTTATTTTTGGCTGCTGCAGTCAGAGGTGTTACATCAGCAAGTGGAAAACCTGCGGAGGAAGGTAGAGATATATATATATTAATTTATTTAATTAAGGTTTTCGTGATTCTGGATGATGGTGCATGCTACGTGGTGCTGTAGGAGAAAATGCTGGAGGATGAAAATGAACAAATCTACCATTTGGTAATTAATTAATTAATATTAGTAAATCCATATTTGATTACTGGAAATTAAACAATAAGGTTAGTGTAGATAAAAGAGCAGCAGATGGCGATGGAGCAGCAGCAGGATGTAGCGGCGGCGATGATGATGCAGAAACGAAGAAGCGAAGAGGAAGAGATGAGAATTAGGAGGCCGGAAGATCATCAGCATCAGCATCAGAATCATCAGCATCAGCATCAGAATCATCAGCATCAGAATCATCAGCATCAGCATCAGAATCATCATCATCATCATCATCATCATCCTCATCATCATCCTCATCATGGCGTTGATCAAGATCAGGCAGTTGTATGTATGGAAGGCGATGATGATGATCATGGCAATGCTTTCGGGTTCAGTAATCCTCACATTATCCATCCCCACCTGCAACTTCAGCTTCATCCTCATGAGCCCAACAGCGTTCTTCAGCTGGGCGGCCCACTCCCTCCTCCTCCGCCGCCCTTCCTCCACCCCTACCGCCTTCAGCCCTTCCAGCCCAACCTCCACTCCTCCACTACTTAACCTACCCCTTGACTTCAGCTTCATCACACACAATCAAAGATATGGTGCACACTAGGAGTGATGGGCGGTAAACAAGGAGGCCTCCTCATGCCACAATTTAGCTGACAACCCCCAATTATATATCATTTATATTCTAAACTTTCTTTCATTGTCTCGACAAATACTCATTTATATGACTCCCTTTTATTTTTCTGCTCCTTCTCAACTTCCCCTTTCTTCATTTGCTTTCTCCACCTTATTTATTCTATATTTTATATCGTCAAATTTGCTTCATTCTTTTTTATTCCCTACTTTTTCTATTTTATAGTTCAGATTCAATTTTATACGAGTTTTTAGAAGCTTCAAATTTATTCATTTTATAACTATTATAGAATCACTAGCTTCCTTCATTGTTCCCAGCTCTTAATATATGGGTGTTGAAATTTACATCATACTAATTTTTTAAATAATTTGCAACTAAGTAAACAAATTTTCATCATACTGTTTAAATTAGTTAATCGACCAAATGTAGATGTTAATAGTGAAATTTCAATAGTAAAATAGTAGAGTACTAAAATTCGTTCAAGAATAATAACATAATCCATTAAATCTACCTAATAAATTGGTATTTTTAAACACAATAAAATAAAATAAAATAAAAATGTTAATATCCCTTTCTTTTGATGGTTTGATTAATTTATTAACCTTTTTATTGTTCCACGGCGCGACATTTGGCGACACAGCCTTTTGGGCAAGGAAGGCGAGATGGTTTTCCGATTGTTTAGTCATTTCATTGCCCAAATTCAGTCATCTGAGAGAAAAATCGTAGTCGGAACTTGGAAGTTCATCGGCACTTGTTTTTGGCGGTTCAATGTTATCTGTGCAGATCTTTAATATGCTCATCTCTTCTGTTCCTCAATTAATCAACATCTTTTCAAGTAGAGCCCTCCACTTTCAGAACGCCGTTTTTATTATCCTGGATGGATCCAGCCTGGCGTTTCAATCAATGCAGCACCCTCTTGTCTGCTGTGGGGAGCTCAAATTTATGTTTCACAATATTTACTCACCTCTAAACGTAATTGACCTTTTTTGTTTCGAAATTGGGGGTTTATGTTATTCTGATTTTCCGAGCTTTCATTGTTAACTGTGAAGGCCAACAGAATGAATGTTTCTTGGATTTCAGCCTTACAACGTCATTGATATTATTTGTTTTGTTCTTGTGCAATTACTTTGCATCCCTTTTTTCCCCCTCTTTTTTGAATGAACTACTCCTGCTTCAGCACATGGATACTATTACTATTGCACTGGTTAAGCAATATTGAGAAATTAAGGCTATATTTCATTTCCTTTGCAAAATTTTGTTGAGCGGTCATCTGGGTCCTTTCATGTATTGCAGATTTAGAGGGCGATAAAGGAGGCTCCTTGTCTCCGGGAGAGAATGGCTTCAATGATTGAATGACTTGGTATGCCTTGATTCTCGCTTGCGGTGCGTACTTAAATTTTTGTAATCGTATGCGAACAGATCGTGGCTTAATTGATCTGATGTGGGATGTGCAAAGTGCAGTAAAGATAGCATTTGGATGTCTCTTGTGGGCTTCTAATATGATATTATTTTCTATATATAGTCTTTTGTCCATTACATCAAGCCAAGTAATTTCTAACTTTTCCTCTTTTGGAGGATCTATGAGTTCCTTCTTCCCCTGTTTTTAATGCACTCCTGCTATTTTTCTCTTCATTGAAACTAAACAACTTTCCACTTTTTTGGAGCATTGCCCCCTCCCTTTCTCTCTTTCTCTCTTACATTTTCTCCCTTTGTTCTAAAAATATGGAGAAGAATTACTGATTTAAGCTCTACCTTTATCTTCATAGGCATATGGCCGACAAAGAACTTGGTGGACAAACCTTACTTTCATTGTTGCATATTCTTAGTCTTGGCCGGAAAGTCATGTTTCAGGTCATGTTTCAGGCCTGAAAGTCATGATAACTTGATCGGCATGTATAGAACTGTAGTCCCAGTATTATATATTTTCTTATGAATTTGTGTAGCCTTTCGGGTTGTTGCGTATTTATTGAATCGCTTGAGGTACGTCTTTATTGGCTAAATATTTGTAGTTTTATGCTACGGACATGTACATAATGGTATGGGGAGCATATACAATCAATCCACCTGCTGCATATATGATTTCCACATAGATTTAATGACTAGAGACAACATCAAACTTTTAGCAATCAAGAATAGACAAGACAACTCAACTAGTAGCTTTCACATCAGTTCTTCTAGCTAACATTTTGGCTAATGGTGAGAATCATTTGTCACGATAACATGTCTGGTTGTATTCACAAAAGAATCTGAAGTTGCATCCAAGAAAGAATGATGCTATGTTTCTCCCTGCTGACATATTTTAGTCATTCAACAACTCTTGACAACAATTGAACAATCTAGGCTGCACTTATTTGTTTCTCCATAAGTTCCATATTTGGTTTGAATTTCTTGGGACTCAGATCCCAGATCTATAGTTCTTAGATCTGTTAGCCCCTACTGTTGATTTCTTTAATCATTTTATATGTATATATGATCACAGAGGAGGTCAACTGACTTTGTTCTTGCCACCAGCACATTTATCCATAATCTTCCTTGTTTATGATGATTTTCCTGATACAATAGTATCAGTTGCAGTTGAAGAGAGGCAATCATGTAAGTTGAATTAGAACCAGAGACGAGTTGTATTGTGCCCACCCACCCTACTGATACTCGTTGTGGTTGAACTCAAACTAAGCGTAAGAGTTGATGAGCCATAATTAAGAGACAATTTGGTTACATCATGCTCTCAGTTGCAGCCATAATTAAGAGACAAAGTGGGAGGCTCTTATTTCCACATGTCAACTCAACTCACGTCGCTGCTCAGCAAAGCCTGGAAGCCTTGATGTTTCCAATTTCCTTCAACTCTGTGCTGAGGTTGTTGCACTGCAGGCCTTTGTAAATACTGTGGCTGTCCTTTGACAGGGCTGACGAGCATGGCCCAGCACTGCATTGGTGCAACAAATATCAATACGAATTTAAAACACTGCTATCAGCCGTCTGGTCAAGTACCCTCCCCTCCCTCCTCATAATTCATCCAATCCTATCAAATATTTTAAGTTCAACTTTAATCCCCATCTAACATATTATTGACTTGAGAAAAAAAACGACAAAAACATATGTTGAAGTTTTGTCTAATATGTTTCTTTCCTCGGGCCCGTTAATGAAAACAAATTTGATTAGAGCTCATGTTAACCCATTTGATTATATAGATTAAAAAGAATATATTTATATATATATATAAACACTAGATATTTCAAGATTTTGCTCTCGAGATTTAAAAAAGCTAAAATAATTAATATGCTAATCCAGATTGTGGTGTTAAAAAAATAAGGGCCATTAATATGCTAATCCAGTTTATTCGGTAGAAGAGGAAAAGAAAGAAGCAACTATGTAGATGCCTCTCCCGAGTTAATGGGTGGGCTCAGTTTCAGATCAATCCAGATGGATATGGCGGGAAAAGCGCCTCCTGCAAAAAAAAAAAAAAAAAAAAAAAAAAAAAAAAAAAAAAAAAAAAAAA